CACAAGTGGACAAAGATTTATTTAATTATTTTTTATCAAATAAACGAATATATGTAGAACATTTAACAAAAGAATTCAAATTATTCAAAGCCGTCTCAGAATCGTACCGCCATAGCCATACGGAGTGGAGTAGTATCTGTTTGTGTGCCGTCTACCTCGCAAATATTCGTGCAAGTTTATTTCTAACGTAACAGTACACCAGATATAATTCTATAAATATTTCAAAGCTGTTTCTTAACTGTCTGATTGTTGCTTTTTCTTTTCCTCAGTCTGTGATTTATAGATAGATAGTTGAACACGAATGCATACAGAACTCTGCATGTGTTACATGATGAATTCTTATACGCTAGAGCTCTACTGTATATCTGACAAAGTGTGAATAGACGTGGTACATGAGAAAGTCCATCTAGGCTAACTTATACCCTACCAGTCCAACTATTCCCATTTTTGGCGCTTAAAGGTTTCTCAACATGCTCTTTCTTTGTCTAGCGGAAGGTTTTTTCCAAAGTGCTCGGAAGTAGGGTTTCTAGAAAACCACGGCTTTTGACTTACAGGTTCCGAGTAAAATTAGTTTAAAAAAAATAATAAACGTCAGAAATTAATTTTGAAGGTGATATTCGTATTCAGCATTAAAAGACGAACATTTTAAAAAGAAAGTCAGTCTCTAACGCAAAATCTAAATTTTTAAATTAATTTCAAATTTTCAATTTTCAACCTTTTTGGAAATTCTACAATAAGTTTTAAATTCTTTTAGTGTACACATTTATAATTAACTTTGTAGTAATTTTATTGAATACAATGAACCCACTCAAAGTCAATAAGGCTATTTTAGAGGATTTGGCTGCTATAGAATAACGATTTTATCTCATGTGTGCGTATGCCATAAGGCAGCCAGCATCTACATTCACACCTGCAGTAGCAGAAAGAGAAAACAGGTAAACAACGCTATAATCTGTCAACGCTGAACTCTCTCTATTATCTTGATGTGCTGAGATATATAAAATTTGGAAAAGGTTGAAAATTTGAAAATTAATTGAAAATTAATTTAAAAATTTAGATCTTGCGTTAGAGACTGATTTTCTTTTTAAAATGTTCGTCTTTTAATGCTGAATACGAATATCACCTTCAAAACTAATTTCTGACGTTTATTATTTTTTTTAAACTAATTTTACTCGGAACCTGTAAGTCAAAAACCGTGGTTTTCTAGAACCCTACTTCCGAGCACTTTGGAAAAAACCTTCCGCTAGACAAAAGAAAGAGTATGTTGAGAAACCCTTAAGCGCCAGAAACGCGAAAGATTGGACCGGTAGTAGTGGAGTCGGATTTCTCATGTACCACGCCTATTCACGTCGACATGAGAACTACGAGTTGTATCGGGATTAACGGAAAACATCGAAAAAAAGAAGGAAAATGTAGAAAGATTGAAAAGTGTCTGTAGCACTTAAATGAAACCTGCCACGCTTAATACAAAAAGTTGTTTTATCGTGTTTTATTTTATTAAAACGCCTAGTCGTCCCTCTAAACTGAAAATACATTTCGTATATTTACAAAATGCATGACAAAAAATCTCTGATAAAATAAGTATATACAGCATAGAAAGTAAAATAAATGAATGGACAAAGCACATATCAATGAAGGAAAAATAACATCTGCAATGATCGAAAGTCATTGGCCTACAGGAGGTTTTTCTTGATTCAACTTGTTGACGAAACATCGGTCACGAAACAATCACCAATCGCAACAGCTTTTGAGAGACTAAACTTGAGAGACTAAACAAAACAAATCTGTTTATTGAGACTTTTAGAAATTAAAACCCGAAAGTCTCGTTCATTGTGTGATTTATCTTCAAGTTTTTCTGAATCTCTATGACGATGTTAGTTCTGTTACAGGTAAAGCGCAGCTAATTCAAAAATCGAGTGGAATTGCGTTTGAACTTAACATACACTATTCGATAGAGCTCTTCAAGCTTAATCCGAATATCTTAATCTTACATTTTTCACTTATGTTACAACGTGGAATGTTCAAATTAGTTTTTTCTGATTCAGCATAGAAAACTGAATTATAATTAAAATTTTCTTCAGAAAGAACACGGCGCTTACGAGATGAAAATCTGAAATTTTTTGCCAACTAACTTTTTGTTCTTTTGGGTTTAAGTTTTAAAAATTACACTTGCGGCCCACGTAGTAATAGCAATAACGCTTGATAATTAATTAAGAAATAAGCTAGAATTATAAAATAAAAGTCTCTCACAGCGCAACAACACAATTCCGTGAAATAGTTTGCCATATTCTGTTTCATAAGCATTGTTTTCTCCTTAATCTTAATTTTCTTCGAAACAAAATAAATAACAATTATTTAGCTGCTACACTGTAATGCTACACTTTCTTCGTTTACAGCTTTTATCTGACTTGTTTTCCATTCTTTGCATGTAATCATCGTCGTCACTTTTATTTACTTAGCAACTGACATTAAAATTACAAAAAGAAAGGAGATAATATATTGTGATTTTTCTTTACTGTTGAAAAATTTAACATTAATAACCTCTGGAATATTCTTTCAACATAATGACAATTACTAATTTCGTAAAACGTGTAGGTGGAAGAAGACTCGTATTTGTCTTTTCCATTTGAGGATGGGGAAAAATACAGAAAGGGTTTTGATCTACCCATTACCATTGAAGTGTGCGTATCTTCACGAAAATAAACAGTTCAATACTTTTTATCGTGAGAAAAGGCCAAGAAAAGCAGTAGAAGAAGGGTGTTTGAAGGCAGAGATTTCCTGGTCTGTAATATTAGTAAATTACAAGCATGTAAATTATAATATATACGGTTATAATTCAGTTTTCTCTTCTAATGTAAGAATCATTCATTATGAGATAGTGGTATTACTAACAGACAAGTAAATATGGACTTTAACCGAAGTGCTGAACTTTATTTTAATCATTTAATGACATTTATGAATTGATATATCGTTCCTACCCAACTCTGAAAGATTATTCTACTAAAACAAAAAAATATCATCGATTTTTTACTGTATAGTCAAACTAATCAACTCTCCATTACAAGGATTTTTGGATTTTTCTCTGTTTTATTTTCCGAAGGATTTTTCTCCTCAAAAGTTCGAAAAAGCATAAAAGTCGGTGTATAACTTTCAATAGTGTAAAAGAATGACGGTCCAAATCAAAAATCGAGCTCTTTTACGTTGTTTCGCTATACCTTAGCTTCCATTTAAAAAAAACAGTCCATGCTAACTGTTCATTACGGAAAAACCTGCGAGACAGTGATTTTCGCCGAGCAGAACACACAGTTTTGAGGAAAATGCAAAATACAATCAATCGCTTTCATTACCATTAGTCGTTGTCCGATGTTAGAATAACTCAGCAAAGTCTATCAAATTTTTATATGGATAATTGTTTCGGTACATAACGTCATCGAAGTTTTCCAATTTCGAAGTGTTTTTCTGTACGTTTGTCAGTCTTCAGTTACATCTGTTTATGTTCTTATCGAGGTGACAGAGACCTGAGGAAAGTCGAATGAATTAATTTTGGGATTTTTGTAGATTCAATTTTGATTTAAATTTTTTCGCAAATATATGTTGATTGTCAGAAGCCGATGAGTTAAAACGCTAATTTTCCAATTTATTACCATTCTAGGTCAAAAATTTTAAAGAAAATGATGAGTATTGTACGACTAAGAAAATGATACCACTACTTATTTTTTCTTTCTTTTGCTATTCATGTTATATATATCAAGGTAACATTGACGATGACGAATTTACAGCAGCAGGAAAAATGTAGCATAAAAACGGGGATATAAATAACTATATCTAGAAAGGATTCTTTCTCGTTAAAACATTCTTCATTTGTAAATATCAAGTATTAAAAAACAAACAAACAAAAATGTCTACACATCATCGTTTTGTATGAGCCATCTTATTCATTATTACTATTATAAATGGTGTATTATCATCATTAGCAGATACAACATCATGTGAACATTGTTGAAAGATATTTTACAAGGAAGAAGATAAAAAAACGCATATCAACAGTAAAGTTGTGAATAAAGCTGTAAATCGACCAGCATCAGCAATCGTTGGGAACTAAAGCTCAATCGTCTCGTGCATTTTAAGCAATTATCGATGATTGTCGCCTCATATTAAGACAAAAACTTTGTTTTAAGTTTCTACTACGTTTACGAACCTTGAAACTTTTGTAAGAGTCTGCCTTGTGCAGAAAGTATCTGTTGTCCAAACAGTCAGAAAAACATCATGAAACACATTTTAAATTTTTTTAACATACTCTGAAACATACCTTTTAAAATTGAAGAAGAGATATTTTTTTGAACGCACAATACAACATCACCCTTCGATGCAGTTTTATGTGCTCGTTTTTTTTATTAGAAAATAGTTAGTAAATTAGATGAAATAACAATGAAGCACAATAGTTTTTCATAGAAATTCTCCTGCTAAACACTCAGTTTATGGTGTGACACCAACTAGTTACAATTCAATATTATATAAACGATCAGCTATTTCCATACTTGCAGGTGTACTAAATAAATTCCGACGTGCTTCATCACGAGCTTTACATGCTGTCACGTCATTTAATACACGATCTTCACCTTCTTTACGAGCTCTCTTTACGATTTCTGTTGTTCTCGGACGACGACGGTCTGTAAATTGTTGAAAAATTGTTTTCAAGGTTGATGTTGAAAGTGAATACGATTCACCGGATGCTGGTAACATTTTAGTCAAATAATATGCATCTTCCATTGCTAGATTGCCTCCCTACAAAGAAATAGGAAATTAATTGAGTTTATCAGAAAAAAACTTTTAATTGAGCTCATAGAGCAAACTTACCTGTCCTACGTGTGGACTTGTGCCGTGTGCTGCATCTCCAATTAAAATCACACGTTCTTTATACCATATAGGCAATTCATCTCGATCATAAATTCCAATTTTCATTAGTTTTTCTGTATTCTGAAGTAAATGTCTGACAGTAGGTTCAGTCCATTGTGAAAATTTTGATTTACATTTAAATTCTTCCATTTCTTCTATAGAAACTGTTTTCCATGATTCAGGATTTGCCGACTCTTCTAAGCTACACGCATACATACAATGTGTTTCTGAAAATGGATAGGATACAATATGTCCGCCAACACCAGCAATTTGTAGAAGAACACCTTTTTCTGAACACAGTCCTGTTGGCCTTGTTGATACACCAATAATTTCTGTTACTCCTGTATAATTCACCGTATCTTTACCAAATAATAGTTGTCTCACTGTCGAATGTAATCCATCTGCTCCAATTAAAAAACTACCAGTAAATTGTGTTTTATCTTCAAAATATGCTATCACACTGGAATCCGTTTGTTCAATATTAATTAATTTCTTTCCCATATGTTTTTCAATGTTCGCTCCTTCTACTTGAGCATGTAGAAAAGCAAGTAATTTGGAACGTTTAAGTCCAACAAACGGAAAACCGTAACGTTGTGAAACTTGTTTAAGAAAGTCATTTTCAGCTAAAATCGTTCCGTCTGACTGTCGCCATGATATAAGTTCTATCAGACCACCACATTTTATAAGATCATCAGATAAATTGAGAGTAGAGAACGCTTTCAAACCATTTGGTGCACAATTAAGTGATGCCTAGAAGATTTCAAGAAAAACCTATAAACTATACGATATTTATAGGGAATACAGAAAAATAAATAGGTATTTACTCCAACATCGGCAAGCTGTTGAACTTTTTCAAATAAAATTGGATGATATCCATGCTTTTTCAAAAATAAACTAACAACAGGTCCAGCAATGCCACCACCAATGACTAAAACCGTCGTCAAGGACGAATTTGTCTGCATGTGTAATAAATTACCTTGTGCAACTTTCAAGTAACAATTATCATAAGTCTATATAGTTGTTTTAATGGTGCTGCTAAAATAAGTACATTTTTTCTTTTTCTTCTGATGTAAAGAGTAAAACGAAGTGTAGATTATTTTTCTTCTTTTTCTTTTTACTCACTATAGGCACAGGTATCTACGTTTTAGCTAAAAAAATTAATTATAAACATTGTTATCTCTTGGCGGTAATCAGGGTCTTTTGTGCTAAAATGACGGTGTATCTGTGTATTTGTCCTCAGCAGCAAGTGATCGAATTTACCTCAGAGCATCAATGAACTACATCTTTTTTTTCTTTCTTTTCTAATATACTATGGAGACCATATCTATGAATATTAAACGAAGTCTGAAAGTTTCAAAGAAATTTTGTTTTCATTAAGATTTTAAAAACGCTCAATATATTAGATATTAAATATAGTGCAGAAGAGAGAAAGCACAAGCAATCAGCAGGAGCTGAGATTTTGAGCAGAGAAGCAGAAACAGCCGAAATTTGTAAAAACTAAATCAGGATCGATAAATGACGCTGAATTGAAATTCTGGTTTCTTTCTTTAATAATGGGTTACAATCACAATCCCAGTATCGTGAACAAAATATATATCGGTTGTATACAGTAAAATTTCTTTACTTAAACCAGTGTACATCCAAATAGTACTTGTTTTAGTCTCGATACTATTTATTAGAAAAAAGTTTCACCTTACGAGGGAAGGCCACCAACTGCCCCGTCGCTTTTGAGTTCGGACTCTGTGCATAAGGTAGACCCCAGTGAGGTATGAAAAACCCCAAAAGGATAAATCCCCGCAGATCTTCTATCCAGAGTTAT